TCCTTTGGAGTCCAGATGTGCAGTAGGATTAAAAATACTAGTTCTTAGGGCAGAGAAGATTCTTTGAAAGATAGTTTGGGATAGGAGAAAGGAAGGAGTATGGGGGGAATCCTTACACTTAGCCATATGTCAGCATTTAAGGAAAGAGGAAAGGGGTATGTGGGGATAACCTTGCTCTTCAGTCAGACTATTTCATAGTTTTATCCTGAGTATTATTTCAGTTTGTCCTCAGACTGATATTGGTAATTCTCTGAAACAGAATAGTTGACAGAATGTTGCATGGAGACAGTGGCCTGTGCTACCTTCAGTGACTCAGCCTCGCAGTTTTGGGCTCAAATTTTTTTAAGGCAAAAAACCTTAGGTGGTTGTTATTGAGGCCAGTGCTGTTTAACATCTTTGTTGGTGACATAAACAGTGGGATTGAGTGCACCCTCAGCAAGTTGCCAGCAACACCAAGTTGTGTGGTGCGGTCGACTGGCCAGAGGGAAGGGATGTGCCATCCAGAGGGATCTGGACAGCCTTGAGAGGTGGGCCACTGCAAGCGTCATGAAGGTCAACAAGGCCAAGTGCAAGGTCCTGCACATGGGTCGGGGCAATCCCAAGCACACATAGAGGCTGGGTGGTGAGTGGCTGGAGAGCCGTCCTGCAGAGAAGGGCTCGGGAGTATCAGTGGATGGAAAACTATGAGCCAGCACTCTCAGCCCAGAAAGCCAACCATGTCCTGGGCTGCATCAAGAGCAGTGTGGCCAGCAGGGTGAGGGAGGGGTTTCTGCCCCTGTACTCCGCTCTCATGAGACCCCCACCTGGTCTTGTGTCCAGCTCTGGGGGCACCAACAGCAGAAGGACACGGACCTGCTTGAGCGGAGCCAGAGGAGGCCACAAAGATGCTCAGGGGGATGGAGCTCCTCTCCTGTGAGGACAGGCTGAGAGAGTTGGGGGGGGTTCAGCTGGAGAAGGCTCTGGGAAGACTAGAGCGGCCTCCCAGGACTGAAAGGGGCTACAGGAAAGGAGGGACTCTGTATCAGGGAGTGTAGGGATAGGACGAGGGGTAATAGTTTTAAACTGAAAGAGGGTAGATTTAGATTAGATATAAGGAAGAAATTCTTTCCTGTGAGGGTAGTGAGGCCCTGGCACAGGCTGCCCAGAGAAGCTGTGGCTGCCCCCTCCCTGTAAATGTTCCAAGGCCAGGTTGGATGGGGCTTTGGGCAACCTGGGCTAGTGGAAGGTGGCCCTGCCTGGGGCAGGGGGTGGGACTGGATGGGCCCGTAAGGTCCCTTTCAACCCAAACCATTCTACGGTAAGCATTTGATGAGGGTATGCAAAAGGAAAAGGATGCTTCTGGAGTTGTCTGTTACCCGTTATATTCATCTGTGTTCATCTAAGTGTGTTCCTGTTTGAATCTTCCATGGCAGTTCAGTTATGGCCGAGTGTTTCATTTGGGCAAACCTCAGTAGTTAGTTCTTCAGTGATTTATCATATGGCTTGTACTAGGAAGTAAACAGCATCCTACTGTGTTCTGGTAATTGAAGTGTTGAGCTACTTATAGAAGGCTGAATTTCAAAATCTGGTGTGAGTTGTGTGGATTGGACATTTTCTTCCCTTGTTGTTCAAAAGAAAGAACATCTAGACAAGTAGTGAACATCCCACTTCTGTGGTCTGGGTTGTAAACAGGTGGATATGAATGATAATGGTCTTAAGACTTGCTGCCTATTTAGGTCATGCTGAGTTCTGAACTGCTGTAATTAATTGGACATGCTCTTGCTGTGATATGCCTGTAGTCCTTACTGATAACTGTTGCATAAGTGTGACTGAGTCAATGTCTTGCAGAGAGCTGAAGAAGGCACAGATGGCAAAGGCCGCAGCTGAGGAGCGAGCACTGTTCACTGACAGAATGACAACTAGATCTACAACACAAAATAGACCATCTCGACTCATTGGAAAGAAAATGAACCGCTCAGTTAGTCTTACAATATACTAACTATGAAGTCTAAAAGAACTACTGAGGATGGCTGTACCATCTCTGCTGGACTGAAGACTAAGGAATTGAAGGAAGCACTCAATTCCTGGTTTCCTGTCCTGTCTTTGATCAGTATCACTAGTTTTACAGGAATTGCTTCTGGGTTTTTACTTGTACAATATAGCTGATGAGCTGTATTAACCATTTGACTTGTCTCTCGAGGATCCATAAGCCTTTCAGTTAACACTGTTAGATGTTACATCTTCCCAGGGTTAACCACTATAGTGGTGTGCTGCTTTGTAGTGTTATGGCATTGTCATCAGAAGTAATACCCCTAATGATTTTTAAGAGGGAGGAGGCCTTGCTTTGATAGTTACTGATTTTTTGGAGCAGAGGGGAAAAAAAATTGCAAGACAGGCTTTAAGGCCACCTACACTCAATGTACCTGATGTCAGGTAGACTTTTATCGTGAATTTTATTTGTATATTCAACTGGGAGCACTTTGTAGGCATTGTATAAACCACAGCTTAGAAACCTGTGGAATTAAGTGCCATGTGGAACTGCTGCTATTTTTAGTTTGTTGTCCTTGCTGTAAACTGTAGCATTAAAACAATCATTATTGTGTTAATAGGCTTCTTGTTAAAACAATTACGTGAAAAAAATCTAAGCTGCATTTTAGTGAAGGCAGCATATTTCTCTCAAAGCTAGTGCATTGTGAAATAATGCACCATTTTAATATTTGGACTCTGTATTAGTGTAGTGCAATTTTTAATGTTTTGGCTGTTTATGTTTTGTAATTCTTTCTAGTAAGGTTCTCCTAAGTGTTGGTATTCTCTTCAGTTGTCTGTTCTTGAGGCTTTTGTATTTTTTTTTTTATGTTGAAGTACTTGTAAATAATTGTTTAGTGTAAGTGTTCAGGTTGTTCTTCATTGTTTCTGTACATAATTCTGTGCTTATAGTATACTATTCTGAAAACTGCAGTCTGAGATTCCAACAGACAAAGCGTAACTATTCAGTTTTAAGTTCCAAAATGAACAGAATGTGGCTGTCAGGACCTGTACTGATGTTGGACCTAGGATGACAGATGTTGCTAAAAACCAGAACTGTTCTAATTACTGGCTTGTCTATCCATTAATTTTAGTTTAAACGGTGTTTCTCATTTGTGCTCTAGTTGTCCTTACTAGTGTTGAATATTAAAGTTTTGTTTAATATTGTCTAACACTTATTTAACTCCATAGTTGTGGAAATAAAATACTGAGTCAGGAGCGTACTATGGCAAGTCCCACTTTGATCTGCTTCCTGCTGCTGCGTAATGCTTGTGGTTCCCTCTCACAAGAGCGGGAGTGAGGTGAGGTACTCTGATTGTTAACGATAGAAGGACCACAGTCTCTGTGCCAGTATCACAGCAGTCTGTCCTCTACAGCTTCAGAAATGGTACTGCATGTTGGAAAGATGAAGCCTCGGCAAGTTTCTAAGTAGAACTCATGACTCTGAAGATGAAGGACTAGATGAAACAATGTGAAGAAAGACCTGGTTCTGAGGTAAGGAGGAAAGCTCATGAATTGCTGGGAAGGGGAAGAGAATGGCTTATTTAGAAGTTGGGAAGAAAACAGTGGGAGGAATTGGAATACTCTAGGGAACACAGTAACAGCATGTTCTGTGTCCTGGATGCAAAATTTTTATGCATTTGTATTCTACCTCATGTAAAGAAGAGAGGTACAGTAAAATGAACAAAGGCTTAATAGATTAGTCTAGTGTGGAGGCTTTTACACTACCCTATTAAAGAGTTGCAGGTGACTACCAGAGAAGCTGTATGTGAATTGAATGGGCTATCATAAAATTTAACTTAGCAGTTAGCAAATGAAAACTGCTAAATGTTTGTATTTGTAAGAGGTCTCAGTGCTATTCATATACAACAGTGAAAATCAGAGGCTTGGTTTAGGTAACTATTCTCTAAATTACACAGTTTTCGTCAGTAAAAACTGATAGACTGGAGTACCTTTAAGTTTTTACTATGTATGATAGTCCTGTCTTGTTTGTAAGAGAGTATCTCATATGGTTTTGTTGCAGCATTTTAATGTTAATCTGCACTAAATGAAATCTCTCTTAAAGTGTACTTCTGAACAGTCATAAATATCAGTTGGTGGGGGAATCAAGAAACGTAAGCCTTTCTTCCCCTATACTGTAAAAAAATTTGATCTACCTGTGATAATTATGTGCTCTTGTATCACTCATTTTCAGAGTGTAACATCAGTACAGGTATTGCTGCACAAACAAGTTGTATACAGTAGCTATATAGGCTTGTAGAGGTGTTACTCTTTACTGGGTATAAACCTGGCTGGATGGCCAGGCCCAAAGGGTGTTCGTGAATGGAGTTAAATCCAGTTGGCAGCTGGTCACTAGTGGTGTTCCCCAGGGCTCAGTACTGGGACCATCTCTGTTTAATATCTTTACCAATGGTCTGGACGAGGGTATCGAGTGCACCCTCAGTAAGTTTGCAGATGACACCAAGCAGGGTGGGAGTGTCGATGTGCTGGAGGGTAGGGAGGCTCTGCAGAGGGATCTGGACAGGCTGGAATGATGGGCTGTGGCCCGTTGTATGAGATTAAACAAGACTGAGTCCTGCATTTGGGTCACAACACCATGTAATGCTACATACTTGGGGAGGAGTGGCTGGAAAGCCGCCCAGTGGAAAAGGTCCTGGGGGTGTTGGTCGACAGTTGGCTGAATATGAGCCAGCAGTGTGTCCAGGTGGCCAAGGCCAATGGCATCTTGGCTTGTATCAGCACTAACACGGCCAGCAGGGACAGGGAAGGGATCATCCCCCTGTACTCAGCACTGGTGAGGCCGCCCCTCGATGGGCCCCTCACCACAAGGACACTGAGGTGCTGGAGTGTGTCCAATGAAGGGCAACAAAGCTGGTGAAGAGTCTAGAGAAAAAGTCTATGAGGAGGGGCTGAGGGAACTGGGGGGATTTAGTCAGGAGAAGAGGAGGCTTGGGGAGACCTTTTCGCTCTCTACAATACCTAAAAGCAGGGTGTAGCAAGGTGGGTGTTTTCTTCCTGAGTGGTAAGCAATAGGACAAGAGGAAATGGCCTCAAGTGGCACCAGGGGAGGTTTAGATTGGATATTTGGAAAAAAATGTTCACCAAAAGAGTTATCAAGCACTGGAACAGGCTGCCCAGGAAAATGATTGAGTCACCATCCCTGGAGATATTTAAAAGATGTGTAGATGTGACACTTAGGGACATGGTTTAGCAGTGGACTTGGCAGTGTTAGGTTCACCACTGAACCTGATTTAGGTCTTTTCCAACATAAATGATTCTGTGATTCTATTCTGTTGCTGGTCACAGGTTTTGTATCTGCTGTGGAAGGGATGCCCAGCATAAACCATTCAACTGAAGTGGCTTTAGATGTTTTAACCTTCTCCTCTGTGCCAAGGAGAATGTTTAAAAAGGAACCTCAGGTATTTTAAGTAGCTTATGGGAGCAGTAAGAATGGGAACATCTTATTTCAAAAGTTCCTTACCTTTCCTGAGGCCAGTAGTGATTCAGGTGCTTGCTGAGTGAGAAGTAGTATCTATTTTTACTGACATTGAAGGGTTTTCCTCTTTTAATAGAAATAATTTTACAGTAATTTTGGTAGCCTATGAATTTATACACACATTTGGGCAAAATTTATGGGCAAAATTTATATTTGGTAGCCTATGAATTTATAAACACATTTGGGCAAAACTTATATGTAGTTAAGCAAGCCACCTTTTCAGGTTGAAGAAGAAGCTACCAGCCTCTTGCAAAACATGAAAGTTTCAGTTGAAGAAATTCTGCTAAGCATGGTGTCACAAGATCAGCTTCAGCACTTAGGAAGAAAACTATCTCAATTTAAGAAGCAAACATTAGAGTTGGGTGGCAAATGTGTTACTCAAAATAGCTATATTTGTTTAACCATTTTTCTAATTAGTTCAGGATTTCTATTTCACAGATTGCATTACTTCAAGTATACTTAGTCATCCTATCCTTGTTGAACTGGGTTGGGGGGCGGGGAAAAAGCACCATGCATTGTTTGACCCCCTACCAAGAGCTGACCAGCTTGACCTTGTCTTAGTGTGTTTTGTAGTCTCCAGCAACACCTGCTGGACAAAACAGTCAACTGTACACTAAATTTTTGTCTTTAAATTGTTTGTGTGCTCATATGACGCTCAACCCTGATTGTTGGAAATCATAATGCTACATCCAGAGCAGTGTGGGCAGCAGGTCGAGGGAGGGGATTCTCCCCCTCTACTCTGCTCTCGTGAGACACTCCACCCTGCAGTTTTAAACTGAAAGAGGGCAGATAGGAAAGAATTTCTTCCTTACATCTAGTCTCTGTGAGGGGGGTGAGACACTGGCACAGGCTGCCCAGAGAAGCTGTGGCTGCCCCCTTCCTGGAAGGGTTCAAGGCCAGGTTGGATGGGGCTTTGGGCAACCTGGGCTTGTGGAAGGTGGCCCTGCCCAGGGCAGGGGGGTTGGGACTACAGATGATCTTTAAGGTCCCTTCCAACCCAAAACATTCTGTTCTGTGGTTATCTTGTTCTGCAGAAGTGATTGAGCATTCTTGTCAGTGGTAGCTCAGGTAAGTGTTGACTCTTTTTTTTTTTTTTCCCACCCATACCCACACCTTGGGTTCTGTAGGCTTGGAGAGGCATCCTCATGATTTCACCATATATGTGATTTGGTATATAATGTGTGCAGGCTTAATAAATCTGTGCATGTGTACTGCCTGTGAATATCACTGCTTGTAGCTCTGCTTGAGGATTTGGGTCTAAAGCAGTGGCCAGCAAGAGCCAAAAGCAGGGCTGTTCCCTGCATGAACCTCAACTTCTTTCAGTGAACTGTGGAAACCATCAGGGAGAGCTGTGAGGTCCCCCAGTTGGAGACTGCAGAGCTGACCTGTAAGTTGTCCTCTCAATAAACACTGCACAGAGAAAGCAGGAAGAAGCAGCAACTGGGCAGGACAGCATACAGGAAATCAAGTGTTTAAACAGTTAGAACTGGATGAAGATGCTATCTTCACAGAGTATAAAGGGATTGGGGAAGGGAAGGTACCCCGAGGAGAGAATATTGCTCTGCCTAATTAAACAGGAAGCAATTTATTACTGTTTAACAAATTGCTCAGAGATCTGAGGTTGTAAATGCTTTAAAATAATCTGAGATTGTGGACGGTCTTGAAAAAAATCTGAAGGTTTGGTTTCAAAGATCTTTCTTTTGCCAATCATTTGACTCCCTTCTAATATGCAGCATCAATATTTAGCGTGACATCTGAATAATGATGCTGGTCTAAACTGAGTTCTCTGTTTGACTCAAGATGAAAACAGAATAGCTGGCCTAATTCTAATTAATGATCTTGTATGTATCCCTAGGTTTACAGCCAGATAGGTGGTCTAATGGGCATAAAAGCTGCTGCTGTTAGTGAACTACCATTTTTGCACAGTAAAGCATTCCACATGTTCAGCCTGCATCCTGATGGACAAGATCTTGTTCCTTTATTTATTTACAGACAACAGAAGGTACCACTAATGCAAGTATTTTAGGCAAGGTGTTCTGCAGGATGGGGGGCAGGAGAAATACCTCCTGTTCCCAACCTTCAGTAGTCTCACCAGCCACTGCTCTCGGGTGATCTTCCTACTTCTGCAGCTGATTCCTCTTGCCTCTTTTCACTCTCATCTACTTAGGAGTTAAGATGTTTAGCATATCTCCCCATACATTTGTTCCATGCCTTAGCAAATAGGATTTTAATATTTTGGTCTTGTAGACATTGAGTCAATATTGATTGTCAGTCTTCTACACCAACCCTGCTTATATTGCTTTTGCCATTAACCATTTCTCTCTCCGGTTTCCATCCCAAAACACTGTTATCAGATGGTTACTGCAGTACACACCTGGGATTTAATTTCCTCTTGCTTTCTGCAAGTGAGGTATCTGTGGTGTTCTGTTCTACAGTGAGTTCTGTAACTTGGTGAGAAATCCCTTATCAGCTGCAAGTGTAGAGTAAGATGTGTGTTACCAGGGAGGGAACTGAAAGGTAACTTAATGCTTTGTGTGGTACTTCTTCATTGTGTTTCATTCGTCAAGTTTGTATAGAAATGCATGTGTTGTGCATATGTGTATAAATAGCAGAAAACTATAAGAAAGTAGGTGTGCTTTGCTGGAATCACTTCAAAGATTGCTCTACAAGTCTTAGAAATGAATGGAAAACTAACTTTTGTAGGGAAGACTGTGATGCCATTCTGATTCAGCATCTAATGCTTCTTTTTCCCATTTCACATAAAGTAATTTTCATGCTTAATTTCTACACAGTTTCAGTGAGATTGAGGCATGTGTATAAAGCCAGAGATAAAACTTTTTAAAGTATTTTAAATAACAGAAAAACCATATTCCTCAAATGGCTTGAGTACTGAGTTATGGTCTAATGTCAAATATACTCACTTGTTTTTATGCTGTCCTCTAATGCTTCCTCGAGGTGTTTTGTGGTGGGACTAGTCTTCAGAAACTCTTAACACATTGGTCAGGAACACTGGCATTTGCTTTAGTTTTATTTTCTACTGAAACATCACTGTGAAATGGCAGATACTGGAAACACAGTTTGCTACAAAGTTGGCTTAATGGTTTTCAGTTTCTGTTTGCTTCAATTCAGTTTTCCTGTGGAGAATGAAAATGACTGGTCTAAACACAGGTCGGGACGATTTTCTTCAGGCTAACAATGAGCAGAAAACTGAGTTGCTCACATGTTGGAATTATTTGCTTGATGGCATTTTAACTGATTTAGTGGCATAAAACAAAATTAGTAACAGTTCAAATATGTAATCTTTCCTCTGGTTCCAACCTCCCTGACAAATACTTATTATTTGGCTAATAAGGAGTAATTAAGCTTCTGCAGGGAGGAGGAAGAGAAAAGTGATTGACCTCTTAAGGCTGAGCCTCAGCAGGGTCTAACTAAAGCTTCTGACTGAAAGTGTGAGTCACTCTCTAAGACTGTGAGCCAGTTTTCCCTCCCTGATCTCCTCACCACCCTTCAGTCATGTTTTTAACTGTGGTGAGCAAACAACACTAGAATAAGCACAGACTTAAAGTTGCTGAGAACTTAGACAGCTTTAAAGAAAAGCAGAAGTATGTTAAGTTGCATCAGAACTTACTTTTGTACCATGCAAGCAATTTAGAGTTTATGTAATGCTATCAAGGACTTTATGGTTAAGTGTAATTACTGATAATTAATATTCTGTGGCTTACATGTCAATCATGTTCAAAGGTTTAGAATGTAAAGTTTTGGTAAGACTAGCACATTAAAACAGAAGAGTTGCTTAAAATAACTCATGCTTTGGGTGTGGGTTCAGTTAGTCCTGCAACTTTGTTAAAGCTATTTTGGGTGACTATAAAAAACCAAAGGTTTTTGTTCAACAGCAAATTTATCTCTGCATATGAACTTCAGTTTAGCTGGTTTTGCTCAATTAGTTAAATCCTAATAAAACTATTTAAAATATTTTTATATAAAATCATGTACTACTTTTATGGATAACTTGTAGGTATCCTTTTGATTAACCTAAGAAAAGCTGGAGCAGTGGAGACTTAGGAAAACTACTAATTTTAATGAAACATTTAAGCATGAACTGTTAACCTATTGACCTGAATGAAACTATTTATATTCTTAGTGGAAAACAAGTCCTGTTCTGGCAAAGGATTTTAGCATGTTGTTTAAATCAGGAATAACAGAAGCTAGCAAAAAGAATGAAGAGAAGTCCACGGGATTGTTTTTTACAATTATTTTAATTTCATTTTTTTCACTCTATTGTTTTTATAAAAGTGAGCTGCCAAAAATCACTGAACTCTGTTCAAAACAGAAATTAAGTCCCTGCCATGAGGAGATTCATGTGTGAACTAGATTAATTGTTCTTCCTCAGTGACACTTAACAGAACCTAACTGTGTTAATACACTTTAATAGGTATGTTCTGTACTTACTGGTGTCCTTGTGGTTGCTTAGCTACCAAATGCAATGAAATACTTTGTTAGGTTA